GTTTCATCATTGAAATATAGCATTATACGCCTCAAGAATACCAAATGTTTAACCGAGGATAACCACCCAATCAAGTTTCGAATGAACGTATTCTTGTGACATTCTAARCTTCSAAAAATGTTGATACCTATGAATATCTTTAATSATCTGCTCTCCTMCTTCATGTCATTACTCTAGTAGAGGACAAATTGGTTTTTATTGGTGGTACTGTCGTTATTTTGYYAGTGAAACTAATTAAATTTTGCTTAAACACACCATATTACAGACCTGATATTAAAATTTTACTATTCCCTTCCAACGTCAACTGTCTGCTCTYTCACTTGATGTGTTTACTAGAATGTTGGTTATTCTTCTGATGTCGTACGTGATTGGGAAATAATGTATTTTTTGCTTACAAATGTTATGAACGCTGAAAAAAACGTTTCGTATCTTAATTGRGTACCTTTTGTTTCCCAATCAACTACAATTTAGGCGGAAATTGATATGGTGTAAGTGAAATTTGATCGGATATGACAGCATTTTCGCAAATTTACTGCTGAAAACGGTTTTCTCAACATTCAAAATAATTATCAAGACCATATCGACACAACATTGTGCGTCCCAAACGAACATATACAATTGGTTGAGGCTCCATCTGCTATGGGTGCGAAATACCAGGCAATTACCAAAACTCTCATGCCTACTAGAACTATTACATCTAGTTGGAGAGCAGAAAGTCGAAGTGGAACATAAAATCAACAAAAGAAGATACATATAAAATGACACCAAAACAGGTTTTCTCGAAATGGCTGAAATTGCTCAATTTGAAATAGTGGTGGTTATAAATTGGACACTTTTAAATTGGAACTACATTATTTTGAAACATACTCGCCCATACAACAATTTTGTCTATTTCTACTTATGTCCCTAATTTCACATTATTATCAGCATGTGACCGATAAAACTCCCTCATTAATTGAAATATCGAACATGCAGAACGAACCGAGGATACAGTAGCCACAGACATTTTGTATTAAGCGCCGCTCGCCCGAACCGTGAGGAACGTTCAGAAACAGTCCCTAAAAACGGCGGAGGTGCGAAGAATCTGCTTCAGAATCATCTACTGAAATGGAATTTCTCATCAACTGTTATATTCTCCTGGTAGGTCTGATGTCCAAATTACAAGTTTAATGTAATTTCTGATGAGTACCTAACTACTAAAAGTTACCGGCCTTACTAGCAAGTAGGAGAGCATAAGATAGTGGTAGTACCCCAATTTTTCAAAATTTAACATCAGATGTAGCAACTAAAGCTGAAGAAATAAATGAACTCCTCCTCGCAAGAGTGCCAGGACGCTACGGAAATTTTGGGTTAGTTTCAATCTTCTGCTACCCTATTCGATGTTATATTTGTGGTAGGAAGTTTAGCCGAAGCCTGATATTTCTCGTTCCACCCAACAGCGGCAATGTGTGCGGTATGTGGGCCCCAATAAAATGTAGTTGTTATTTCAATGTGCGATTTATTTATAACCTCCCTTCGATGGAACCCGTTGTTGTGGCATTCTGAGCTTCGAAAAATGCACATACCTATGTATACCTTTAATGTTCTGTCCTCCTACTTCATGTAATTACTCTAGTCGAAGTAATATCGGTTTTTATTGGTGTACTGTGACTATTTTGCAAGTGAAACGAATAAAATTTTGCTTAAACACAGCATATTACAGGTCTGAAATTAAAAGTTTGCTATGTGCTACCCACGTCAACCGTCTGCTCTCCCACTTCGAGTAAGTACCGTATTATGCAAATGTTGGTAATTTTCTGGAATTTTGGTCATTTTTCTGTGGGCAGTTTTCCCGCTATAGATAGATCTATATATACCAATATAAACAAGTCTAAGATGTTATTGTGACCTTAGACGTACCTACACGGAGAACATAACAGTTGAGTGTAATAAAATATTTGAATCATCCGGCAGCTGTTTCTAACTTTTCACATGTCCGTGGCTATCTCAAGACTTATAGTATATATGATGGATGTGAAGATCATTGAATTGATACATGAAATAGATATTCTGAGGCATATAGCATTTGCCAACCGTGGCAGGCAATTGCATGTGCGTGTAAGTCCCAATAAAATGTCGGTTCAATTCAAAAGTGGGCTTTATGTATAACCCCATTGTATAAGGAGCGCAATCAACTTTCAAAGAAGCCTTTTCTTCTGATGTTTCCACGCTTTCCTCTAAACTTCTGTTCTCCTACTTCCCGTAATTGCACAAATACAGCTCATATTGGTTGCGACGGTGGTACTTCGGTAGTTTTGCCGGCAATGCAAATGCAATTTGTTTTAATCCAGGGCGGTAGGTGTGAATGAGTTCAAAAAATGTTTGTAAAATTTACTAGAAATTTAGTCACATGCCAAATCCTATCACTAGCTAAAAAAACTTTAAAACGATCAATCAGACTTCATACAAAACCGGAGAACATAACAGTTGGTAGAGCAATAGTATGAAACTAGGCAAGTCCCAGCATGCTTTATTTACAAACGAAGTAGACATGGAAAGTCAGATGCAATAACACACAATTAAAGTAATTTTAACGATGGAATTTAATTATGAACAATTCGGATAATGACAAAATTATCGTTGTTTCATTACGAGAATATAGATTTCTCAATTTTTGTCATCAATATTATATTGAGTATTATATGCTAATAAGAATATTTTTAAACATCAAACTGTCATGTAACAGTAGACAGTGCCAACTTACAAATCAACATTGAATTATTTGCATGTCAGTAGTGAGCTTTTCTAACTGTTTTCAATGTTCTTATTTCACATCGACCATCTCAACATACGATAAAATAAAGAAATATAAAAAAACATATAAAAAAATAAATAAATTAATCATACATTTTTACAATCTTTGTCAAAATGCTACAGGCAATATTACAGTATAGCACCTTAATTTGGTGGCTTATATGGCAATGATAATAATACCTAATAGTTAATATCAACGATCTGTGTAGAAAGTACAATGTACCAACGAACCACATAATATATATTTTTGAATTCGAGAGCAACATAAACGTCAAATTGGATTAACTGTTATAAACCAATGAGAGCGTTAACATTCACAAGTCCACTAGGTTTAGAAATCACACCTCCCAGCATACGACCTATCGAAGCTCCGCCCATTTCTCGGAGCTTCGGTGTTCTTGGAAGACCGTATCTGTTGCTAAGTTTTGAAAATTTGAATTACCACGTCGATCTTCTGCTCTCTTGCTTATTGTACTTAGTCTAATATGTGAGTATTGGTAATTTCCTATAATTTTTATATTTTTTCTCAGTTTATTACAGTAAATGTGCATTAAAGTGTCTTTAAATTGGTAGGTACTAATTTTTTTTCAAAAACGCCTCCCCTTGTTCTTGTCACATTTTCAAAATATAGCTACACTTCAAAACTTCTGTTTTCCTACTACGTGTAATTACACTAATGCCGCTCATATTGACTGCGATGGTACTTTAAAAACTGTCGCAACCGTAGCTCTTCCCTTAATATTCTGCTTTCCTACTTCGTCTAATTATTTTAGTACAGCTCATACAAGTTTTGATGATACATTTTCAAGTAAGATCAAAAGAAGATGTCAGATAATTTTGATATGATTTTATGGATAGATGTAAGACCTAAACGTAGATGTTCTGATGCTTGTGTAGCAGTTTCAAACCAAAACTGGCAATAATTAATTGTGTGCTCTTTAAACGCCGAACTATTTTTTAAAAGAGCCTGTCCATTTGAGATTAATACGTTTTAAAAAGTTTTGCAATATCTTTAATCTTCTGATCTCCTATTTGGCGTAAGTACTGTGGTACAACTAATATCGGATTTGATTACTAGTTAATAAATTAATTTTAATATTTTAATTAAGTTAATAAAGTTAATAAAATATCATCATTTGCTTCTGGGAAA